TTGTTGGGGGCCATTCGGGGACGCCTTCAAGACGGAAAGGGAGAAGAGGCGGCCTACAGGAGGGCAGGTCTCTTTGTTTCTGCTAAGTGAAGTGGCGCTGGGCTCTCTCTGATCCCAGAGAGGATGGGACAGCCGAGGCAGCGGGTCCTGGGCACTGTCCAGGGAGCCGGCCAGCGTGTCGCAGAGCCCCCAAGGCTCCCGGGAAAGCCTTGCCTCCCCCAGGAGTATTTGCCCAGGCCGTGGGATGAGACCGGACAAAGCCGACTTCACCTGGTCCCTGCAACGCTGGGGACTGTTTGCCGGAGATCCGCTCCCCCTACCAACACACACACACACACACACACACACACACACACACACACACACACACACACACACAGAGTGGACTAACTCCCCAAAGCCCTGCCATGGGATTGGGCCGGAGCTGTCATTTTGACGACAAGCGCCACGTCATCAACAACAACAGTAATAATAACAGCATCATCGTCAGTCTTACCAGAGAGAGCCAAGAGCGCTGGCGCACCATGCTTGATTAAATCACATAATTAGCAGCCACTTTGATGAATATTATTGCATTCCAGGCGATTGCAAGAATAGCCTTTTATTTTCTACGGGTAGGCAGCATGGTTCTAATGAAGCAGTTGAGATTATTAGTGAGAACATGAATGGCATACTCGGGGTTGGCGCCGCGCGACGGTGAGGCAAAAGTGGCTCCGCTCGCCAGTGCGCGCGTGGGAGCCTTTTGGAGCCGAGTTCCAGCCCCCAGGGGCCGGGGCACCCGCAGCTCTGTCCCGTTAGCTGCTGATCTCGGCGAATTCCGCTCCTCCTGGACCCCAAGAACTAGAGAGGGCCTAGCTGGACCCTGGAGTGAGATTGAAAAATCCGGGGAACGACTCTCCGCATGGCCTGAAGCTCCCCAACCCTCGTGTGTGTGTGTGTGTGTGTGTGTGTGTGTGTGTGTGTGTGTGCAGGATGGGGGAGAGCTCGGTCTCTCCGGAAGCGCATTTCTGTCCCGCCCGGAGAATCTGAGCCTTCGAAATTGAGCCCGGGCCCTGCGTCCTGAGTCGTTTTTGACGTCCCGGCGCGCCAGCCAGGCTGCAGTTTTCGAAGGAGCCGGGACTCTCCCGGGGGCGCTTGGGGAGCTGGCGAGGCGAGCAGAGACCGCGGAAGTCGGATATTAAACCAGCGGGAGACAAAATGACTTTTAGCAGAGCCCCCAGCGAACAAACGCTGCCTCCAAGCCGACTGGCGAAAATATTTGCATATATAGTGTCTGGGTATTTGCTGAGATCGCCTGATAGCCGGGCACACCTGTGTCGGGCGGGCTAAAGAGCCCCCACCCACTTGCCCTTTTCATTCAAGAAGTAAACAAAGCTGCAGCCCTCTTAGGTGATGCGGGTGGGGTCATCCGCAGGGCTCCTTTCCTGCTCTCCCTCGGAGAACTTGTACATCTGACGCCTGTTGGAGACCTGGGGCCAGGAAAATAAAAGGGGGTACCTCTGAGCCCGAGGGAGCTCTGCGCAGCTCCTGGTAGTCCCCACGGCGCAGGTGCGCCTGTTGGGTACTGCAGGACTGGGGCGCCGGGCTATGGCTCAGCGGTAAGGCGCACAGCGGGCTTTAAAAACGAGCTTTCCTCTTCAGCACTTGAGAGGAAATACGCCTCCTGAGGGCAAAACAGCTGCTTCGAGGCCGCGGCTTTTCTGCACCTGCACTTTGCCAATCCAACTCCCAGGCGCGCAGAGCCCTGCAGGGGGAGGGGCCGGGCCAGAACCGGGGGGCCTGCTGACCTTGAGGCTGGAGCTTCTCCCACCGGCCGCGGCGTGACTACCCTCTCTTCTCGCCCCTGCGAGCTGGTGCCGCAGCCTTACTCTTCCTGAGGTGTTTTTTTTTTTTAAATGCTGTCAAATTAAAAACAAAATAGAATAGAAAAAAAAAATCTTCGTGTTCTAAGAACTGAGGGCTCTTCCAGTTCAACCATCTAATAAATAGATACATAAAACTTTTCCATGCCACTGTGAGCATGGTGTCTGCTTGAACACCTCTGGGGACGGGGAACTCATTACCCATAAAGTTGCTGCATTGCTTCATATCTGTTACGATTCAAAAATAAATTCTAAAACACTGGACTGTTCGATGTTGCCATAGTATCTTTTGTTAGAATAATAATAATAATTAATAATAATAATAAAGGCCACTAGGATAATTGACGCTGTATCAGGAATTTCTTTGTTGTGTTTGTAATCTAGGAGGCCTAAGTCAGGCATCTTAGGGAGTGGCCTGGTGACCCTGCCTGCCTAACCATCGGGACACACCCCACTCCCCACCCCAGGTGCTCCTCTGGACCCAGCAAGGAGGACTGGGGGCCCATGGCTGTGGCACCTCAGCTCCCCTTCTCCTGTGATACCTGAGCCTAGCAATCTGTGGCCCAGCCTTGCTGGAATTCAACCGGCCAGCCTAATTCAGGTTAATGTGGAACAGAAAACGCATCAAAGGGCAACTGACGATTTCCAGAACACGAAAACTTTTTTTTTCCCCCTAAGCCAGGAAAAGTTTGGAAATAACAGCGACTCGCTGATCCCAGGCTAAGCTGATCCCAATTGAAGGGGTGCTTACTTCACTTCCCCCCCAACCCCCCACAGGCCTCTCGGAAGCCCGGGGCGCCACCAGCACCCCCTCCCAATCTCCCCTAGGACTCCGGAGTCCAAACCACAGAAGGTAAATAGATGCTCGCCTTAAGGGAGAAGGGGTTCTTTGTTTCAGGTCAAGTGAAAGTTCCTCCCTCCAGGGCTAGCGGCAGGATCCAGCCCGGAGCCGCGGGGGGGAGGGGGGGACGACCTGTTGAATTTCACAGGCTTTTAGAGGCAGTGGAATAAAAAAAAACCATATTATTTGGAACACTTTCTGTCAAGGAAATGTGGATTTAAATAATTCTGCGCTCACATTCGAGATGTCCAAAGTGTCACTTTTTGTCGCTGTGCTTATTTGGTTCAATTTGCAAAACACTCCACTTCTCACTGCAGCACCTGCTCTGCGGGTCAGAGCCGTTCTGCTGGCTTCAAATCCGTTTGGGAAAACTCAGCATTACACCTTGAACCACCAGGTTTTTGTAATAAAGAGGTGTTTCTTTTTATTTAATGTAACTTCCAAGAATTTAAACACACAAAAATGCAGGGGTGAAGGGGGTTGTTCACAAATTTGATAACCACAGTTGTAAATGGAGACATTCACTCGTTTCTCATCAGGTTATAAATATTTGATACTGAAACTGTAAAATGCACATTTTTTTAAACTTAAAAAAAAAAATCCCAAATCAACTTTGCTTCCTTCTAGAAAGGCAAGTCATTTCATCGAGTTTCCTAAGCAGCAGATGGTCATGGACAGGACTTTAAAGTACAACTTTTTTTTTTAATAGTTTCCTTTTTAAAAAGGTTTCTGCTAGTATGTACAGAGCGAAACTATTTTCGTGGTGAAAACAAGAGGTTTAAGGCAAAGAGAGAAGTCCTCCCTCGGTCCGGTGACCCCCAGCTCAGTGGGGGGCACACCCTGTGGGCTGCCCCTTGTTCCAGGAGGACAACTGGACACTTTTCCCCATACACTAAACAGAAGACAGTGTAACATTTCATATATATAGGTAACGTGTTTGTTTATATATATGTACTTGGTGGGGGGGATATATGGAATATATTTAATTTACACTGTACCACACCTTCAAAAAAATAAAATGTATATTTAAAAAAAACCCAAGAAAAGACAAAAAGTGATAAGAAATGGTTATTTACAGATTTTCTTCCTTCTGGAGGATTCTGAGTTCCTTGGGGAAGTCAAGCAAGACAGCCACATGTTCCAGAACTGTGGGCTCAGACAAGCCTGGTTGTATGTCCTGCAATCATGCATACTTAAGCACGTATGCACAACACAGATATTTAACTAGGGAGATCGTCCTATGTAGCAGAAGCAACCACTCCAAATTAGAAAAAAAAAAAAGGGTGAAAGAAAGGGAAAAAAATAACAAGGAAAAAAAAAAGAGGGAAGACAAAAAAGCAAAAGAGACTCCCCTCTTGGCTGCAGCCCTCTGCGTGCCCCGAGGCAGCACACAGTCCCTGTTAAGGGGGCCCTGCTGGCACCCCAAGAAGACAGAGGAGCAGCAAGGAAGCCCTGCCGTGAGAAGCCACATTTCAGTGCTCTTCGCTTCACAGCCGGAGGTTCTCGGCCCTACAGAGTCAGTGCCCGGGGAGGCTCCCCGTGCAAGGCTGCAGCAGCGGGGCGGGCAGGGGACAACGACACAGACACAGACAGAGGAATCAGAGGGGCCCAGGCCAGGCCTCAGTGAGCAGGAGGGAGAGATAGACAGAGAAAAAGGAAAAGGCAGGAGCTGGGCTAGGACAGGCTGTGGGCCTGGGCCGCTTGGCAACGTGGGCCCCTGGGCCAGGATGCCCAGGGTAGGCGGCCACCCCCCAAGGCCAAGCTATGGAAGGACACTAGCCGTCCCCTCTCCCAGCTAGGTCCCCCCTCCTGCTGCCCTCACCAAACCTACACAAACAAAGTGGCAGAACTCATAGACCAAATAGGAGCTATTTATTCGGTTCACAGTCGTGTGAAATGCAGCAATAAAAATCTTTGGACTTCAGCAAGTTTTTGATTTTTTTTTTCTTCTTTTGAAATAATAACTAAAAAAAGTGTCTGATGTCCCATCATGGAGCTTAGGAGATTTAAACAAACAAAAAAAACAACAACAATAAAAAAAAATCAAAAAAGGTGAATCCCTAAGCAGCCCCCTTCAGAAAAAAATTATATAATTAGCATAATCTCATAAACACAAAAAACTCAAAAATATTTTATAGTCAGATATTTTGGATTTTACACCACCTGTAAATTATATATACACATAGAATATTGCAGAACCATAGCTAATATGCGATATTTTTCACTATTAATGCTGGTATAATCTTTATACACTGGCCCTTGATTTTTTGATTTGAGATTATTGCATTGTTTGGCGCCCGCCCCGCCGCCCGGCTCCTCCCTACTCGCTGTCCGACTTGCCCTCCTTGGCAGTGGTGGAGTGGTTGTACAAGCCCTGCGCCATGAGGTGCACGGCCAGCGTGTTCTTGTTGCCCGTCGCCTTCTTGATCTTGGCGCGCTTGTTCTGGAACCAGATCTTGATCTGCGACTCGTTGAGGCTGAGTTCCTGCGCCAGGCTCTGCCGCCGCTGCTCCGTCAGGTACCTGTTGGTCTGGAACTCCGCCTTGAGCCGCTGCAGCTGCTCTGCCGTGAAGGCCGTGCGCGGCCTCTTGTCTTCTTTGTTCGGGTTCTTCTTCTTTGGTTTGCGGGACCTGGGACCTGGGCGGCGAGGTGAAGAGAGGAGGCAGGTTATTCGAGGCGAGAGAGGTTTATGCGCATCCGGGTGGGAGGTGTGTCGCCCAAGGGGGCAGCGGGTAGGAGGGGAGACCCCCCACCCAGATTCCACATAGGGCAAGTGACTGGCCCAAGGCCTCTGAACCACCTGACTTGAGGGGCGTGGTTCTCCCGGGCACCTCCTAGGGTGGGTTGGGGGTGGAGTCTGGGAAGGGGACAAGGCACAAGTGAGGGGTCTCCAAACTTGGCCAGTCTTGTGGCACAAGTAGGTTAAACTGCAGGTTGGGATGCCCACATGCTGCTTGGAGTCAGATGAGTGCCTGGGTCCTGGTCAGTTCAGGCCCAGCCCTGGATGGCCTCGGCCTGGTCCATGTGGCATCTGGGGAATGAACCCAGCAGGTGGAAGATTTCTCCTTCCTTCTCTGTTGTTCCCCCTTTCTAAGAAAGGAGGAAAAAATTGAAACTTTGTGGCAAGTTTTTTTTTTTTTTTTCCTGACCCTTTTCTGAGGCTCAGGGGGAAGAGGGCTGTGCTGGATGAGTCTAGGTGGGGAGGGGAGTCCAGGAAGCTGGAGGCACCTGGGAATTACTCCTCAGGGCAGGGGGTCTCTGAGCGACCCCCTTCTCTCTCTGGCTCTGTTCACTGTTGCCTTTAAGGATGGAGATGGGACAGCTTCTACTAGGTGCTGAAGCTGCAGAGGGAAATCTGTCTGGGTCCCCTCCCCTGGCCCCTGAGTGGACACGGTCAAGGCTGGCTTGCTTGTCCCCCACCACAGACTGCCACACCAGAAGCTGTGTGTGGCTCCTCCAACCTTGGCTGAGCCCATTTCTTACCCTGCCCCCACCTGGATCCTTCCCCTGCAGCAGACCCCAGGTTTCGGGCAAGGGTCTTGTTAAATTTCTCAGGATTCAACTTAACCTAGGGAAGAGGGGAGAGGCAGCAGGGTGGAGGGAAGGCAGTGAACTGGGGTCAGGGAGCTCAGCCCGAGTGGAAGTGGGAAGAAAGGCCTGGGGAGACCCCACTGCCTCTGGGCTTCTCCACCTCCGAGTTGCACAAGTCAGCTTTGGGGTAATCTGCTCCCAGCTTCACTGGAGGCCTCTTTCACACCAGACAAGCAAAAGCTGGACAAAGCTGGGCCCCCCCGTCCTCCATCTTAGAGGGCTGAATTGCTAGCAGCTGGGAAGAGCAATCTCTCTGGGATGTGGCTCAGTTGCATCCCACTCTGCAAGGAGGGGCACAGCAAATCCCCTCTCTGCCAGCCAAGCTGTGAGGGAACCAAGCATGGTGAGGATGGAGGAGAACCACCCAGGGCAAGTCCGCTCAAACTCCAGGCCCCGGGGTTTCTGTAGCGCTCCCACCGCCCACCCCTCCTCCAGACACACACAGACCCTGGCACCCTAGGCGCTGGCTGGCCTGGCTTAGATGGCGATCTTAGCCAGTCTCCCTGGAACCGGTGAAGGGGGAAGGACTGAGGGCTGCAGGGAAAGCGCGGGAGAGACCCCAGCTGGCCCCGTGATTGCTCAGACACGAGTGGAGCTTCCTGCTCCTGGTGAGGGTCTCCCTTCCCGCTCCCTGCCCGGCCAGCCCACACTAAGCTGGAGGCACACTCCCTTGCTCAGCGCTCAGCAGCCAGGATCCTCCGGTCCTGGGGCTCTTGGTGGCACCTATGGGAATTGGGGATCCATCCTCAAAACACACCCTTTTATGGGGGAGAAAACAACCCCTCCGAAGCCCCATTTTTTTACTTTCCTTTCTTGACTTTTCTTTCAGAACGCAAACACTTAAGGAACACAGAACGAAGCCTGTGCAAATTCCTTTGCTTCTTTATCAAACGTCCTGCGCGATAAAGGCAGTCTAGGAGAAATTTTGTTTCTTTCCTTCTTTCTTAAACCCAAGAAGACCAGCGACTGTGGCTGAGCTAGTTGGTTCTGAGGGACCCCCGCCGGCGCTGGGGCTTGGCCAGTCCGACTCCCAGCCGCACAAAGCCGGGCTGCGGCTGCTCCCCGGCCTGCTTTGTGAGCCTGTATGTTAATTAAATATTAACAAAGGAGGGGGGCGAGAACAATGGAACAAATTTCAGGGGTAGCTGGAGAAATGCGGATTTCAGGAGAAACCCACCAGTGCAGCCGCCTTTCTGCAGGAAAGTGATGGAGGGGGTGGTTCCGTGGAGCCACGATGAGGGCGAAAGACCCCCCACACAACGGTGCAGGGTGGAGGGGCAGAACGGGGTCCGATGCCAGCTCCGGGGATAAACAGAACTCAAGCTCGCTCCTAATGGCGGTTCCCAGCCGCAGAGCAGCATTTGCAAGCAACCGCGGATTTCTGCCGGAACGCAGACCTCAGCTTTTAGGAATCCCAGATCTGTGGGGAACCGAAAATGCGCCCAGCATCTCCACGCACCCCCTCCTAACGCAGCCTCTTTCCTACCGTTAACAGCGCGGAGGAAACCTTTACCAGACTGCCGGGTCGGCAGGCAGTCGGCAACCCTCTCTCTAAGCCGCAGGCGGGAAGGGTGCCGGGATCCACCAAATAAAGTCGAGCAAAGGGCACAGGGTGCCTCCGTTTCCTTGCCTTTCCTTCATGCGGCTGCCCACGGCCTCTAACCAACTAAGGCAGCGAGCCCGGCCCTTTCTTCTGGAACTGCACTGGGGTAACACGGGGAAGGCGTTCAGAGTAGACTCGGCCGGGCCTGTCTTCCAACCTCCCTCGTTTCCAACAAACCAACTCCAAACAGCCAAGGGAGCGATGAGTTAAGGGTGGGCTGTTAAGGAGACGGCCCAAAGGAGGGAAGGAGACGGCCCAAAGGAGGGAAGAGGGGGAGCGAGAGAAAGAGGAGACGGAAAGAGAAAGAGAGCTCTTTTTCTGCTCGCCCGAAGAAGTCGATTTCCCCGTAGATCAATGCCCCCCGCGCCTCCCGGCCGCCGTCCCTGGCCGCCTCACCTGAAGAAGGTCGGTCCGAGTAGCGCGTGCAATAGACCCAGGCCGGCCAGAGCATGGGCTGCGCGCCCAGGTTGGCGCTGGCCTGGGAACTGTCCGAATCCGAGCTCACCGACAGGTCGCCGCCGCCCAAGCCACGGGCCTGGAGCGCCCCGTCCAGGGGACCCCCGGGGTCGCCGCCCTTCTTGGCGTTTCCGTGCAGTGAGAGCGTCTTGGAGCCGCCTTCCCCGTCCGCCGGAGAGTCGCCGCCGCCGGCCGGTAGCGGCCCTCCCGCGCCCGGCGCGCCCGGCGGGTTCTGCCGGGGCTCCCGGGCACCCAAGCCCAGCAGCTGCTCCGCGCCTCCCGCGCCACCGCCTCCCTCCGCACCACTCGCGCCGCCTTCGCTGCCGGCTGCGCTGCCTCTTCCTCCCAAGACCGCACAGCACGTCCCCGCGTCCTTTCGCCGGCCAAACTCTGGCCGCAGGATGTTATCGATGAAGAAGTTGGTGATTCGGTGCGGATGCTGGTGGTTGCCTGGTGCCTGCAGCACCGCGGGCAGCATCAGAGCTCGCCGGCGGCCGGTGTCTGCGTCGCCGGGACTGCCGCCGCCAGCGGAACCGCCGTTAGGGCTGGACTCCGGCTGCCGCTGCCCCTCCGCCGCCGCCGCCGCCGCTTCGCTGGGCTTCGGGTCATTCTCCTCCATGCTGTTGACGGTCAATCCCAAACAGGTTCTCCCGGGATCCTTTCCAAATCAGTCTTCGGCCCGCACGCGGTTGCACTCGGAGACTCCCGCGCTAGCACCCCGCAGTCTTCCCAGGGCGTGCGCAGCGGCTGCGGCCAGGGCCGGGGTCCAACACGTCGCCGGCTGGGCTCGGAGCGGAGCCACGTTCGGATCCACGAGTCGGATTTAGAAAACACCAAGGGTCTCCGCGCTCGCCCACACGCCGGGAGATTCAAAAGAGGTGCTCGGCTTTGCAGCACCGCCGCGCTCTACACAGTCACAACGGTCCCGAGGACACCCCGGGCGCCCCGCCGACTCGGCGCGCCTCTTCTCTGCGTCCGGCTACCTCCGGCTCCGGCGCTGCCGCCTCGGCCGCCCGGGGTTAACGCTGCACTCATGCAGGCCGTGCGCTCCTCGGCGCTCAAGCCCGCCGGGGTCTGCTCGGGCCGTCCCTGCCCGCGTGCCCCGGCAGACCCTCGAGGGTGCGGGGCGCGAGCGGTCAGCGCGCCCGCCGCCGCCCGCAAGCACATGGAGGAGGCCCGGGGGCCCGCGCTGCGCTCCGCCAGCCCCGGGGCCCCCCGCGCACGGCCGCCGCCCCGCTGCGGGCCGGGGCGCCCCACCGGCGTGCGGCCGCGCCCCCGCCGAGCCCCGCCGAGCCCCGCGGCCCGAGGCGCATGGGTGAAGGGGCGGGGAGGCGCGGGCAGGGCCGGGCCGGGCTGGGCCGCCCGCGCTCCCGGGGCCGTCTGCGCGCCCTCGCCGCCTCGGCCTCGGCGCCGACTGGGGGGCAATTTCCAGGCCACTAGGCACAACCTGAGATACTTTGACTCTGGATTTTTGTTCTTATTTTTAACAGAGCCCCCTCGAGTGACGTCGTGGGCCGGTCTCCTGGACACGTGCCTCGGACCAATGGCCGCCGCGCCGCGCGCCCACGTGATGCGCCCTTGGCCGCTGGTGACGGGGGCGGCCCGCCGCCCCTCCCCCGCCCCCGCCGCCCCTCCCCCCCTTAAAGCGGCCGCATCCTCGGGCTCCGGGGGTCCCGGAGCCTCGGAACCCAGTGGAACCCCAGCCACGTCCTCGCCTCTTCGGCGCCGAGTCCCGCTTTCTCCCGTGGCTTTTCCGCTCAGGCATCTAAGGACCCCAGCGCTCGCTCTGCCAGGTCACCCTGGGGGTGCTTACGTGGACACGCGCTGGGGGACTGCTATTTTTAACATTTCCATATTGTTTACCGTGGGGAGAAATCCCACAATTCCTTGCACAAATGCATAAATAATATTAAATGAGCTTGCCGAGATACAAAGGGACTTTTGTAGACCGCTTGCCTTGCTGGTGGAGAGGAAAATTGTCACTTACGTTTGGCTTGGGTTGCCGGGCAGCTTCCTGTCTTACCCGCAGAGCTGGCGCACGCAGGACGCCCCTCCCGTAGACACTGATTGTAAGTGTGCGAAGTGTGCGTGCGTGTGCGTGTGCAGGGAGGCGCGCAGACGGGGGATGCCGGCGGGGGCTCCCAGACCTGCAGATCCGGAAGAGCCCTGGGCACAGTCTGGGCGTTGCAGGAGGACTTAAGGAGCACGGAATTTTCTATTTTGGAAAGGTTAAGAGGGCTGACTTTTGCGCTTAACCTAAAAGCTCTTCAAGGAACCTGGATTGCCTCTCCTTAGCCGTGGCTCTGCCAACCCACCTCCCATTCCAGCCGACTCTTCCCTGAGTGAGGACAGGCCAGGCTGCTCAAATTCTTTGAATTCACCTTGCAGGAGAGCAGGGCCAATATTAAATGGGGAATTCAGGATGAGATGGGAGGGTGTCTCCCATTTGTCCCTCCCCTCCTTTCTTTATCCTTCTCTGGGCTTCCCTTTCAGCTGCTGTCTTCTCTTTCACATCTCCCATCCTGATGCCCCAAGCATCATTGCCTTTCTATGGAAATCTTTGGGACTCGGAGCTACGAGCTGAAGGGCAGCTCTTAGAGTGTGGGTATGGTGGTACTGTGTAAGCACCCTTGCTGGGAAGAGAGAATGGAGAGGGGAAGCAGAGGGAGCCCCACTCACTAGGACGCTACATGACACCCTGGGGTCCCTGGGCAATCAGTGGGCAGCTGGCAGGCCTGGAGTATATGCAGAGCAACTGGGTCAAACAAATGCCCAGCTACAGTGATCCTCTGGACCCTCTCCTGGTTGGTGCTGCTGAGGCCTTGCTCCGGGTCCACCCGCAGCAGGCTTCCACCCCAGTGATGGCCAGGCTGGGGAGAAGAAGCTTTTAGAGAAAATGAACCTGCCGAGGTAGCGCGTGGGGACTGGGCTGTGTCCCAGAGCCAATAAAGGTGGCAGGATAGGCCCTAGAGACAGGTGGGGGAGTCTCTTCCACGCCTGTGTGGATGGGGAGCCCCTGCTTCCTTGGGAAGCTTCCCATCTTTGTCCTTGCCGCCCTCCACTGCCAAGGGCATCACCAGCTTTTCTGTCCAGCAGCACATCTGTTCAGGGCCCTAGGAAACATGCAGGTGGACAGGTGTGTGGGAATTGACACAGCCCAGGGGTTTCTAATGAAACATTTCCTGCCCCCTGGGGGTGGGAGGGATACTGGTCACCAGTCAGGGAAAAGACAGTTGGATGACTTCAGAAGGAGCTGATTTGCTTCCTACAAAGCAAATTCGGTTTTCCACTTGTCCCACAAAGACCCCGATATTGGGCCATTCTCCTGAGAAATTTGCGATTCCAGTTTCTTGGGGTGAGCTGGACTTTCCTTGTGTTCTTAGCAGTGAACTCTGAGCAGCGTCACTTTGGGCTGACCCAGCCTTGTCTCTGAGTCTGACCCTGCCGGCTAACAGGCTGGTTTGCGGAAGAAGGAGGAATTCCTGGTTGACTCTCCTAGAAGAGAACCGGTTGGTAAAGCAGGAAGGAGATAGGAAAAGAGAGAAGGCTGGGGAAAGCAATAATTAAAGGAACTGCTAGGAAAGGTGACGCTGGATCTTTGGCGCTGCCATAGGAGGGGCCTGCGAGGAGGGTGGGGGACAAGGCGACAGAATCACTGTAATCCACTCCCGCACACCGAATCTCTGAGTTGCCTCAAAAGCGTGCTGGAGGCCCAGGCGGCCTCCTGTCCCATCTGGAACACCTGTCTGGCAGCGCTTTCTGAGGATGCGGGAGCGTGGGCATTTCCCATTCCTCGAAGCTGACCCGCGGCCGCAGGGGCGGAGACGCCCGCCTTGGCTGCCGCAGGGCCGGCGGCCCCAGGCCCGGAGAACCGCGCTCTGGGGCTTTCCCCACGCGAGGAACCCCACGCTCACGGATTCTCGGCGAGCCACCGGACGAAGCACCGCCCGAAGTTGGTTAACCAAACCCCGCAGCCCACACCTCGTACGGTTGCGGCGAAGAACGCGCCGGTCGCTTCCTCCCGTTGCCCGCGCCGGGTGAGCGCGGCGAAGCACCCGCTTGCAGAGAACTGCCCTCCGTGTTTGCTCGCGGCGCCAAGTGGGGCCCCGGGGTGGAGAGCGCGCTTGCAGTCACGCTGGGTTTAATAGCACTGACGCTGGTGTTGCAAAGAATTCCCCTCCCCCGATCCGCCCCAGGCGCGGGGCTTCCAGTGGCCGTGGCGCTCCGGGGCCCGCAGGGTGCCTGGGCTGTAGACACAGCCTCCTGCTGGGTTTTTTTTTTTTTTTTCCTGCTTTCAAAACACTCGGAAGGTGCGGTTCCCTGCCACTGCTGTCCTGTTTCTGGGTTGACGTGGGGACAGCTTCGAAAATAGCAAATGCAATTGACAGCGGCAAGCACTCGCGGGGGCCCTCCTCACTTGGTGGGTACAGATGCCCAAACACTTCCGTGAGCGAGCGCAGTCTCTACCCTAGCACAATGAGGCAGCGGTCAGACCCAGGGAGCTAGACGGGTGACCGCGGCGGAGGGCGGAGAGTCACCCTGGGCTCCAAGGAGCTGTTGCCCCAACCCTGGAGTCTGCAGACAAAGGCTGAATGAAGGGGCGCTGGCGCGTGCGTGCGTAGGCTGGATCAGGCGAGCCTTATGGGGGCATCCGTCCTGGGGTCGCCTGTTTGCGTTCACCTCCCAGCGGAAGAGAATAGGCCGACGCCACATTCTAAAGGCGAACTTGGCTGAGGCCTGTGGTCAGGCACCACATCCGAATAACCACAGGAAGTAAGGGGTTAACCTGCACAGTGGCCTTGCCTGGTAACCTCCAGCAAGCAGAAGAGGTGTCTGGGGTACAGGGCACACGTCAGGGCCAAGCCCTTTAGGGTCCCCAGTCCTAGGCTGCCCCGGTTTGTCTGGCGCCTTCCTGAGCTGGGTGGGTGGGCTGGCGCCTCAGCCTGGGAGAAGGACAGTCAGCCTGGCCCTGGGTTTTCCCTGGCTGGGCTCCATGGGAGTGGCTGAAGAAGGGGAGCGGTGCAGAAGGGGTGCAGAGGGGGCGCGGTGTCCATTGGGTTCCCCCTCCTGTCCTGGCTGCTGGGACAAGATTTGCTCTAGGTGAGCAGCCACATTGCTGGTCTGGGAGGGCTGGGGAGATGGACAGATACCCGGGAGCGAAGCTGGAAACTGAGTTGCACATGCCACCTGCCTCCAGTGCTGTCTGGAACAGAGCCGTGCAAAGGCCAACATGAAGAATCACTGGCAAGCTTGCCACCCAGAGTCCTCTAGGCCTTCTCAGGGTCTCACCACTCTCTCTTTGCCTGGCCTGACTTTGGCCAGAAATTATCCAACCTCTTGCCCACCTTTCGCTCTCTTTCTCCCTGCTTTATTGCTCTTCTGATCCACAGTAATGTGGGCCCCCCTGGTGGAAGCTGAATCCACTTCCATTGGAGGTTGCTCTCCCTCTCCAGCGGGGTCTGCAGTTGGGATCTGGCTGGCATCTTTCTGGAGCAGCTGTGTGGGCTTGAAGTTGGGAACACAGACTGTTTCGGGAGTGACCTAATGCCTGCCTCCAGTAACAATATCCCCTCAAAGTGGCGGCAACCCAGAGGACAGTAAGTAGCACCTTGCAAACAATGAGAAGTGCAGTAACTCAGATGAGCTTGGCCAACACGATTTGAAGGGTGTTGCTAGTAGCCTGAGCCTGTGGTTCCACAACCCAGAGTGCTAAAGAAAAGCGGGAAGGCCCAGCACCAGCTCAGAAAGCGCAAGCCCCACCCCCTCCCTGTTTACAGAGGTTTATAGATGCCAGAAGTAATAACACGTAGCCTCTGCTAGCTTTCTGCTCTTTGGAAAGAAAACAAGATGTTCAACAGTCACTGCTCA